TGAGGTGCTGGAACAGCTGGCCAGAGAGGCTGTGGATGCCCTGTCCATCCCTGGAGGTGTTCAAGGCCAGGCTGGATGGTGCCCTGGGCAGCCTGGGCTGGTGTGAAATGTGGAGGTTGGTGGCTCTGCATGCAGAAAGGGTGTTGGAGCTTCATGCTCCTTGAGATCCCTTCCATCCCTGGCCATTCTGTGTTAACGGTGGGTATCAGACACCTGCAGAGATGGTATGCAATGGCATGTTATTATGCTTACAGTTAAGATGAGGGTCCAACATGTGCAGAGTGTGCCTTTGTCCTGACATCCCCACATCACAGGTGCTGCTGCTCACCCCACACGCAGCTGCAAACATCTGAAGGCCTTCCACAAAAGGCCTACGTTATTTCCGAGCTGCAGCATCCAACCATGGGGAAAAGCCTAAGGATTTCAGGAGACGAATTCTCTCTAACCATGCAATGCCATTTCTGAAGATTAACTGCTGTAGAATTAAACTGTCACTCAAACACTCTCTATTTGCCAACACTACACTGCAGGAATTTTTTAATATTTAGAAGGTATGCAGAGGCTTCAGACACGAACCAGCACAACACACAAAGCAACCCGTGACAGCACAGACTCTGGGGTAGATGATTAACAACATGAAGAAAAACAGAGTCCTCTAACTGTGTGTGTTTCGAAGTCATGGAACCATAGAACAGAACCACAGATTCACCTTCAAGGCCGGAAAGAGACCCTGGAGGCTGGAAAGAGATTGAGTGTATTTGGGTCTTCCACATCTGCTTTATTTTGTCTGGGATTATTGCTGCCCTGAGCTTTGCTGTCTGCACATGGGTACATGCAAGCACACCGATCTCCTACCTTCCAGAATGCTCTCCATACAACAAGATCAGCAAAAAAAGCCATTGGAGGACCAGAAATGAGTGCTGGCATCTCCTCCTGGAAACTGGGAGGAAATGACCAAGATTTACAGACTCCTTATTTAAGCTTATTTAAGCCTGTTCCTGATAAAATAAAAGACTGAACGTTTTCCACTTAGTAACTAAGTGGAAACACATGGAAGTGCTGAGAACAGTACATTATCCTGCATGTTTCCAAAAAGAGAACGTTCCTGAGTCCTTCTTTAGACTTTTCTTTAGTGAAAGCACAAAGGTAAAGTGTCATATCAGCACTGTACCACAGGTGGAGATCCTCTCTGGGTCTCACATCCTTCAGCCTCTCCAGACTTACCAGGCACGGATTCCTGAAATGAACTGGCTTCTATAAGGCTTTCACTCCACTTTTTAATAGGAAATTCCCTTTCTTTTTTCTCTCTGTAAGCATAAATAATATTTTTTTGTGAAAGGAGAAGTTTCCTCTGATTGTAGGATTGATAAAGAGACGTTCAGAACACACCCGTGAGTCGGATGACAACAGATCACTGGAGCTAGACAGCATTCAAAGAGCTCTACAGCTTTAAAACACAGCTGCTAAACAACTACTGGAGGGAATCAAAGCCACCATTTAACCTGGTGAACTTCAAGTCCAACTTGACTACAGAAAGTTTGTTTAAAGCAAACTGTTACGCAATTTGTGAACACACAACTGAAAATGTACAGACGGACAAGGACAGATCGATGGTTCACCTGAAATCCCCAACAGGGATTTTACATATTTAATTGATATTAAAGAAAAGCATGAAGGTTGGAACAAAGCACTAAGATCATCGAGTCCAACTCCAACCCATCCCACTGTGGTCACTGCCTGTGATCCCAAGTGTCACATCCCCACGGTCCTGGAACACCTCCAGGGAACAGAGGACACCCCCCCACCCCAAGTGCCCTGTGCCAGTGCTGACTGCTCTGGGAAGAATCACACAGAATCACAGAATGGTTTGGGTTAGAAGGGACCTCAAGGATCATCAAGGCTCCAACTCTCCCACCACAGGCACCAACCTCCACATTTCATAGCAGACTAGGCTGCCCAGGGCCCCATCCAACCTGGCCTTGAACACCTCCAGGGATGGACGGGGCATCCACAGCCTCTCTGGCCAGCTGTTCCAGCACCTCATTGCTCTCAGAGCAAAGAACTTCCCCCTGACATCCAACCTCAATCTGCCCTCCTTCAACTTCAAACCATTTCCCCATGTCCTGCTGTTATCCACCCTTTCAAAGAGTTGACTCCCCTCCTGTTTGTAGGCTCCCTTTAGGTCCTGCAAGGCTGCAATGAGGTCACCCCACAGCCTTCTCTTCTCCAGGCTGAACAAGCCCAGCTCCCTCAGCCTGTCTTTGTAGTGGAGGTGCTCCAGCCCCCAGATCATCTTTGTGGCTCCTCTGGACCCTCTCCAACAGCTCCCTGTCTTTCTTGTACTGGGGGCCACACACCTGGATGCAGTGCTGCAGATGGGGCCTCATGAGGGCTGAGCAGAGAGGGACGATCACCTCCCTGTCCCTGCTGGCCACCCCTCTGCTGATGGAGCCCTGGACACCATTTACTTTTTGAGCTGTAAGAGCACACTGCTGGCTCCTGTTCAGTTCTTCATCAACCAGGACCCCCAGGTCCTTCTCTGCAGGGCTAAAAATTGTTCCCTCTTTCTGCATGGGACAGGCTGAGGGGGGGGAGTGCAGCCTGGAGAAGCGACAGCTGCAGGGAGACCTCCCCTCCTAAAGGGAGCTTAGAACCAGGATGAGAATGATAGGAGAAGGGGGAACAAGGAGCATCAGGAGTTATCACAAGGAAGAATAATAAGCAAGTAAACAGAAGGTATGACATCACTTCTGACTATCGTGTGTTTGCATCTCGAGTGCCGGTCTGGTTTGCTTCTGTGAGAAGAGCCAACAGAGCTGGAACAAGTACAGCTGGTTGGAGCAGCGTCTCCTGAAAGAGACTGAGCAGAAGTAGAACACGCACAGCTTCCCAGGGAAGATGCATTCAGCTCAGTTTGATGGATGAGTTCAGCTCAGAAAAACAGCACGGGACTAAGAAAGGCACAAGTGGGACTGAGGAGTTGAACGGGCGGGTATTTACAGCTTCCTACAAACCAAAGAATGGAGACACCTCAAAGATATCGTGCAGCCAATTATAAAACAGGCAGAACCGAGCATTAATTATCATTAGGGTCCACACAGGAAGAAAAAAACCGGTGGAACTTACTGCCATAGGAGGTTATGGAGTCCCAAAGCTCTGCTCTCCTCAAACACTAGGTTTGTGAGAGCAGCTCACAGGAAGGAGGTTTGTAAGAGACACCCCCTGTCCTCCCCCCCCCCAAAAAAACTGCTTTGCAGCCACTCTGGTTCAGAACAAAGCACTCAGCTGATGACTGGCAGTATCCCCTCACTCTGTTGATCCCCCCCATGTCACCAGTGGGAGCAGATCCCAGCCCTGAGCCAGCTACATCTCCACAACAACCGTGCTTGTCAGTGGGCTGCTCTGTGACTGCCAACTGTTTTCTATTTCTCTATATTTTGCTGGCACAGATGACCACAAATATCTTGTTACCACCCACGTGCTACAGCTTTTAAATGGCTTCTAGAACCATTTTCTCCTGTTTCAAACCAGCAGGTGTGGTAGCTACCAAAGCTATCACAAAACAGCTTTGGTTGGAGGGGGTCAGATCAGGCTGTTCATGATCCCATCCCACCTGGCCCTGAATGCCCCAGAGATGGGGAACCCTCAACCTCTGTGAACAAGCTGTTCCAACCATGATCAGCTCCAGCAGCACCTCTGTTCACAGATCACCTATACAACTCCCCCAAGCCCTTGTTGGAGCTTTAAGAATGCCTTCTCACTACCTAAAAGTTGAACAGAATGAGTGCTCTGCCATAGGAAACAACATCACTCACAGCCCAGTCCCCCTGGGAAACCTTCATTTGTGTAAGACCGCTTTGTCTTTGCAGTATTAGATCACAGAACCTCACCAGGAGCTTTCCAGCAGCATCACAGGACCCTCTCAAATGCCTCCAGGTATTGAATAGGAGAACAATCTCACTCACAACCACTCCAGTTAAAAGGAAAGGCAGATGCAGTACCTTCTGTAGAAGTGATTTCAAACGTGAGATCTTCTCCACAGACAGAGAAACATTTGGGTTATGGTTCCTGGAATACACCCAGCTTCAGATAATTATCTTCATCCAGTGTGAATTCCCTCTCTCTATCCTGAAAAAAAAAAAAAATGTTAGAAAGTTATTGCTAACCAGAGGGAACTCAGGGTCAACAACTCTCCCAAACAAGCTTCCACACATCCCTTTATTCAAACAGAACAGGGAGTCGGGCTGTATGTGACAAACACCCTGCAAAGCCATTACTGGCCACCAGATAAACTTGTAATGAACTCTTTTTAATTACCCCTGCCCTACTGCGTTAGGGGTTAACAGCCCCTCTGCTCTGCAGCCCTCAGACTCAGCTGTGAGACTTGTACCTCAGTCAAGAACACGTTTGTTTTCTTGACATCACTTCAAAAGAAAGTTATAGGTTGTCAAGGAAACCTAAAAGGTCATTTTCACTTGTTCCAAGAATAATTGCAGCAACAATAGGCGTATTTCACATCCAGCCTGGGGCCCCCAACGCTATGGAGGCAGCAAGGCAGCCAGAAGAGGAACAGCTCCTGGAGTGCAGGGCTGGCACAGAGCTGGGCTGCACTCAACCTGCTCAGCCCCCACCCTGGCACAGCCTAGGGTCAGCCCAGACTGCCCTGCATGGAGCTCAGAGCTGAGCCCAGCATCACGTTACCCCATTTCAGAAGAACGCTCACGTTAAGTCTTGCACCCCCAGTAACCATCAGTACGAGCTGGGGATGGAAGGATGGAGCACAGCCCTGCCAAAAAGGCCCTGTGTGGGGGGACAGTTGAGGGCAGCACTGTGCCCTCACAGCACTGAGAGCCAACCACAGCCTGGCTGCATCCACAGCACTGCAGCCAGCAAGGTGAGGGAGGGGATCTGCCCCTCTGCTCTGTGCTGGGACACCTCACCTGCAGCACTGCGTCCAGATGGGGAGTGCTCAGCACAGGACAGACACCGACCTGGTGCAGTGTGTCCAGAGAAGAGACACAAAGAGGGGCCCAGGGATGAAACTGCTCCCAACGAGGAGGGGCTGAGAGCTGGGGCTGTGCAGCTGCAGAAGGGAAGGCTGCAAGGAGAGCTGAGAGCAGCCTTCAGTATCTAAAGAGGCTGTGGGAAAGGAGGGGATGCACTCTTTTGCAGGCTCTGTGTCACAGGACATGAGGAGATGGCTTCCAACCAACAGAGGAAGACTGAGAGTGGGTGTAAGGAGCAAGCTCTTTGGGCTGAGGGCAGCGAGGCACTGCACAGGTTGCTCATAGAGCTGGTGCTGCCCCATCCCTGCACACAGCCACGCTCAGGGCTCTGAGCACTGATGGAGCTGTGGGGCTCCCTGCTCACTGCAGGCAGTGGGACCAAACAGCCTTTAAAGATCCCATCCAGCCCCAGTCTTGGCCCTGCAGGCAGCACAGTGTCACTCCAACCTCAGTTCTGTTCAGTTTGTGCTGGAATCCCAGCACCAAGGACAGTCCCATTGCCCATCACTGCCTGCTCCGTGGCTTCACATCCCTGAAAAAAGGAGCTCTCAGTTGTCCAGCAAATAATGAAGCTGTTACACGAGGAATGAAGGGCTGATAAATCCATTGCTCATCTTTACTTAATGACTTCCAGCTTCAAAGCCTTTCAAACAGCTGTCAGAAGGGATTGGAACACTTTTGCCGTGCAGGAGAAGGCTGGCAAAGCACCTGAGGAACTTCAGCATGAGCAAAATGTAAAGGAATCCAAGAGCCTGCAGATTTACAGTGTTTCATCAGCCAGTATGTTTGCAAATAGATATAAAATCACTAAAAACACCTTTCTTTTTTTCTTCCTTACTTTTCTTCTTCACCTTTGCTCTTCTCTCACAAAAATAATTCCAGGGATGGAACAGCTTCCATAGGACAGGCTGAGAGCTGGGGCTGTGCAGCTGGAGAAGAGAAGGCTGTGAGGTGATGTGAGAGCAGCCTGTATCTAACAAGGAACTGCAGGAAAGGAAGGGACAGATCCTTGAGCAGGGTCTGTGGTGGCAGAACAAGGGGAAATGGCTCCAAATGTGAAGAGATTTAGGTTGGATCTAAGGAAAAAGTCTTTCACAGTGAGGGTGGTGAGGCACTGGCACAGGTTGCCCAGAGATGTGGTTGATGCTCCATCCCTGGAGGCTTTGAAGGCCAGGCTGGATCAGGCCCTGGGCAGCCTGATGGAGCTGTGGTGTCCCTGTGCATTGCAGGGAGTTGGAACGGATGGCTCTCAGATTTCCCTTCCAACTCTAAGGATTCTATGATTCCATTGTGTCCTGGAAAGCTCCCCAAGCCTTCAGCCTCCCAAGAACAGTCAGCTGCTCACAGCTCTGCAATACTTTGCTGTCAGCTCCAGCACCACGAAGCTGTGAGCCACACTCTGTGCATGTCTCTCATTGGGAAATCCCCTCACAAACAGAGAAAACTCCTAAGGAAAGGCCCTCAGCCAGGGCTGCAGCACACACACACGAGCATCAGGGACTGGGATCATCACTTCAGACCTTCCAGGTTGATTTTAATCACTTAAAAACCCTCATCCCACTCGTAGGCCACAGGCAGCCCTAAAACCAGTCCCACAGTTGTTGCTCTTTTCCACTTCCTTGCCTTCCAGCACACACATCATCCATCCAGCCACCCCTCTGAGGCTCAGCAGTGCCATAGGAAGCTCAGGATTCCCACAGCAGCACGCTGAGGCAGTAAACAACACATCAGCAAAGGAAGCTAACAGATACTTTGGGGATTTATTGCCATATAACTCAGCATTATGACCAGTGTTCTCCCTTCAGTTCCCTCCTCAACCCTCTGCTGCCTCTTCATGCCACTGTCAAAAGGGAATTTCATTCCCTGCGTGTTTTCAGATCACCCAAAACTTCACAGAAATTGCCAAAAGTTGAACAACTGCCCAAGCACCATTTGATCTGTGGACAAAACCCAAACTCCTCTATCAAACTCCATCATCCTGTTTAACAGCACAAAGACTCTGCCCCACCAAAGCTGAAAGGTTCCCCTTCCTGACCCAGCATTGGCCTCAGTACATCCCACAGTAGCAAAATGCTGTTTCAGGCAATGATTTAAAGGTCTTCCGGGTAACCTGCAGGCTGACAGCACTTCTGCAGCAACTGCCTGGCATCCAGCAGCGGCTGCCTTATCACAGCCCTTGGATTGCAGGATCACAGCCCTTCCATCAGCAACTCATCTCCCATTAAGGGAGCCTACAAAGAGGAGGGGAATCAACTCTTTGAAAGGGTGAGTGACAGCAGGACAAGGGGAAATGGTTTTAAGTTGAGGGAAGGGAGATTTAGGTTGGACATCAGGGGGAAATTCTTTACAGAGAGAGTGGTGAGGTACTGGAACAGCTGCCCAGAGAGGTTGTGGATGCCCCATCCATCCCTGGAAGTGTTCAAGGCCAGATTGGATGGCGCCCTGGGCAGCTTGGTCTGGCATTAGGTAGGATGGCTGGTGGCCCTGCATGTGGCAGGGGGTTGGAGATTCATGATCCTTGAGGTCCCTTCCAACCCTGGCAATTCTGTGATTCTGTGATTAACATCTTTATATGTCCACCCTTTTCTGCTCACAGCAGCGTGGGACACGTGCTGCTCCTCTGCACTCAGTGCTGACCTCACCCCCTGCTCTGTGTGCCAGCTCTCAGACATAACACCCAAACCCTCAGCAGCAAATTTCATTTAAAAAAAAACACGCGTTCTTCACAAATTCAGGTTCAGAGCGACTGCAAATTTATCTTCCTCTCCATCTGGACATCTGCAAAACGATATGCAAATCATGAGACAGATGAAATGACACGGGTAATTATAGCAGTAACCGAGACCAGGAGCTATTTCAAGCTGTTGGCCGAGCACTGTGCAGTGTTTGAGAAGAGCTGCCCCATGCACACACCAGCGTGCTGCGACGGCAGAGGCTGCAGGATGCTTTGTGAGCTGGATGTGAACTCCTTCAGCAGTCCCACCTGCAGCTCAGGAGCAGCTGGGTGTGAGCAGCACACGGGCCAGTGCAGCATGCATGGCAACATGTGGCTGAAATCCAGGGCTGTGTTTTATGGCCTAAATGCTGCGGCCTACCAAAAACCACTTGCAGCAGGCTGGAAGGCCCCAGTCGTTGTCTCAATTGGCCCCAATCACAGATCCACAGAATGGTTTGGATTGGAAGGGACCTCAAGGATCATCAAGGCTCCAACTCTCCCACCACATGCAGGGCCACCAACCTCCACATTTCATACCAGCCCAAGCTGATCAGGGCCCCATCCAACCTGGCCTTGAACACCTCCAGGGATGGACGGGGCATCCACAGCCTCTCTGGCCAGCTGTTCCAGCACCTCACCACTCTCTCTGTACACAACTTCCCCCTGACATCCAACCTCAATCTTCCCTCTTTCAACTTCAAACCATTTCCTGCTGTTATCTACCCTTTCACAGAGTTGACTCCCCTCCTGTTTGTAGGCTCCCTTTAGGTCCTGGAAGGCTGCAATGAGGTCACCCCACAGCCTTCTCTTCTCCAGGCTGAACAAGCCCAGCTCCCTCAGCCTGTCTTTGTAGGGGAGGTGCTGCAGCCCCCAGATCATCTTTGTGGCCTCCTCTGGACCCTCTCCAACAGCTCCCTGTCTTTCTTGTACTGGGGGCCCCACACCTGGATGCAGTGCTGCAGATGGGGCCTCATGAGGGCAGAGCAGAGAGGGACAATCCCCTCCCTGTCCCTGCTGGCCACCCCTCTGCTGATGGAGCCCTGGATCCCATTTGCTTTCCAAGCTGCCAGAGCCCCAAATGCTGTCCTGATGCTTCTTTCCCAGTGTTAAGAGCATGCCAAGCATCACCTTGTGATCTACAGCAGCCATCCCCTGCCTTTCCACTCATTTCCCCCCTGCCAGCGTCACATCCTGCTCGTTCACACTCCCAAGCTGACACTTTCAGTCAACTATGATCCATTTTAAAGATGTGCCGAGCTGCTCAGCAACCAACAGGCTGGGGAAAGCTGCCAGTTTAATACATAACATCATGCTGCTACCTCACATCACAGGCATTTATTCCTCAGGATTTTCAGCACCAATATTATCCCCAGATCCTGGATCAGTCAGTTGTCCCAAGTCTGGCTGTGCAACACAAGCTGCACAAGGAAAGGCAGCTTCTTTCCAGCAATCCTACTTGTTAATTACACCAGCTGTGCACAGGGTGAAAGCACTGCTCTGCTGCTGGACTTTTAAGCCATGTTCTCCTGCTTGCTCCACTTCTCTTCTGACCATCATTCAATGAAGAGTATTTCTGATTCAAGCAGACCTTGAAATAAAATCAGCAAGCATTTGGGCTATCACAGTACCAGCCAAGGAAATGCCTTCCAAAACTCAACCCGATGCTCACTGGCAAGCTACAGAGCCACTAAAGCTGGCTCTGAAAAAGCCAGGAAACAGAAAGCAAAAACACCATCACCCACACTCCAGCATGAGCTCCGATCTCTGCAACTGGCACACACCCACGGGGGATGCACAACCAGAATGATTCAGTTCTCCAGCAAACAAGACTAAGGGGGGGAAGGGCTATAGGATAGAAGGGGATGGGCTCTTGGGCAGGCTCTGTGTGATAGGATTAGGGGAGATGGTTTCCAGCTAACAGAGGGAGGTTTAGATTGGATGTAAGGAGCAAGGTCTTCATGTTGAGGGCAGTGAGGCATTGCATAGGTTGCTCATAGAGCTGGTGCTGCCCCATCCCTGCATGCAGCCACACTCAGAGCTCTGAGCACTGATGGAGCTGTGGGGCTCCCTGCTCACTGCAGGCAGCCTTTTAAAGATCCCATCCAACCCAAATC